GTCACAGATGTAACATTTGCCATTAAACTTGTACTTTTTATTATCCCCCCTTTTAGAGCCTTGTGATGAACTTTCTCCAGAAGACTTTCGTTTATTGGTTTTTGAAGCATGTTCCACCACATTTGCCTTAGACTTCATAGGATGCTTACCAGCCCGCTTTTCAGAATTGCGGTTGTCCTCTTCAATCCTTAAACGCACAATTAATTCGTCCATAGAAATTTCTTTGCGCTTGTGTTTGAGGTAGTTCTTGAACTCCTTCCAGCTTTTTGGTAATTTTTCAATTAAGGCTACAACTTGAAAGGATTCACTGAGAGACATGTCTTCTGCGTGAATGTCATGCAGAATGAGTTGGAAATCTTGAGCTTGGCTGATCATAGTTTTTGAATCAACCATTACAAAATCCAAGAATCTGCCAACCACAATTTGAGCCGGAATCTTCCGTTTTGTACTTTTTCTCCAACGATTCCCAAAGTTCCTTTGCTGTCTTGATTAGGCTGTAGACGTTGTATAATGTGTTGTCAAGTCCATTCAAGACGTAGTTCCGGCAAAGGAAATCGACATGTTTCCAAGCATCAACCGCAGCAACCACTTGCCGGTCGGTTTCATCCTTTTTCAGGATAGGAGCATCTTTACGGAGAAAACGAGCCAGGTTCAGAGTTGTAAGATAGAACAACATTTTCTGTTGCAATCTTTTAAAGTCAGTTCCTGAGAACTTCTCTGGCTTCTCTCCATGATTTGTTGGTACTGTCATCACAGGAGAGGGGGTTGGTGCAATTGCAGCCACCACAGTAGTACTTGTTTGGGCATTTGTTTCAGTAGCCATCAATTCTAATTTATAAAACAAATTTATAATTAGAATTTTCACTACACAGAAAATTAAACCAAATTCACAGAATTAAATTCTGTAAAAATAAAAGAAACAAGAATATAACTTTTATTTTCCAATTAATTTGAAAATAAAATAAAATTTTATTTAAAAAAATTAATTCCACACAGAAAAATAAATTCTGTAAAATGAAAGAAATAAAAACTATAACTTTTATTTTTCAATTAATTTGGAAATAAAATAAAATTTTATTTAACCAAATTAATTCCCTACAAGAAATTAAATTCTGTAAAATAAAAGAAATAAGAAAATAACTTTTATTTTTCAATTAATTTGGAAATAAAATAAAATTTTATTTAACCAAATTAATTCCACACAAGAAAATTAATTTCAGTAACACTTCAATAATTAAAATACTAAAACAAAATTTTAAGTAATGAAAACTCAGAAAATAATTTCTAAAACCCAAAATTAATTTCTGAAAAAATTCCACAAAAATATATTCTGAATTGTTAATGACACCAGTATCGTACTACTAGTTGTTGTCAAAGAAAAGAGACAGTATATTACTACTATCTGTCAAATAGCATATAATCACTATTTGTTTTTCCAACTAGAATATTATTTTGTAAATCCACAGAAAATAATTTTCCTCCGAAATTATTTACGAAGAATGAAAAAAGAAAACAAACGAAAAATTCTGTAAACAGAATAATTCGAATCTGTCTTAAGATTGTTGGAACAATCTTCTGTGTAAATAAAATAACTAGAAATAAACAAACAAAAATAAATAAATCTTACAGAATTTATTTCGTTGAACCGAATAAATAATTCAAGACCAAATCGAGTGTGTGACACTCTGTCCTTAAGACAGATTCGCCCCGCTATGGTACTTACGGTTGAGCGGCGTCTATCTCCCAGGATACATTGATCTTCACAAATTGTAGTAGTACTCCAAACAATTTGTTCGGCGAACCAAACCTATGTTCTAACTCTCTGAAATTTATTCCTAAAAAAAATGAAGATTAATGCACTAATGCACCAAAGATAACAAACTGGACAACAAATAATATTTGAGACTGATTTTTTGGGATATCTCAACTGCTGGAAAAGTATCTATATTTATAGGCAAAAAATTAGACCCGAAAAGGTTCTTCCTTGAAGTGAACAGGTGCATAACAAAATTGAACAGGTTTAGTTCAAAAATTTTTTTTAAACAAAATTGCAACCTGTTAAAATACAAACAATTCCGGACCGTTTGCACAACCAACACCAATAATTCAAACTTTGAACTGTAGTGGACTAAGTCAACATGAAGGAACTTTAATTTATTTAAACTATTGAAATATATATATATATATTAAATTATTTAAATATATATATAATAAACTATTTGAATATATATATATATATATATATAACTATTTGAATAGTTTAATCATTTTTAGGAAACCACTTAAGGAAACCAAAAAAAATAAATTTAGAATCAAATTAAATTCTCACAATATTTTTTATTGAAAAAATTCAAATGAATTTTATCTAAAAAAAAATTAATGTTAGACTCGAAAACGACGTCAACTTCCCATTCACTCATAAATGGTTTTGACGTTCCGTCTTTAACGTATGACTTGCCACGTAGCAAGGAACACTTCACCTCTTCGGACCCGCCCCAAAATACGTTCGGGGCCCACTCAAAATTGAGCTAAAAAATATGCCTATATTAAACCATTTTTCCAATACTTCTTTGTGTTCAAGAAATTGCAGCCGACAGGCCTACCATGTCTAGTGTTGTGTCAATGCTTAGCAATGAACTTGTGTTTCTACCCTCTCCAAAACAACCTGCATTTTCAATTATGACAAGTGGGCCTGATCGGACTTCATGCAGAAGCCCAGAAATATGTTCACTGAACAATGTGACAAATTCAATTCTGAAACCCCTGTAACAGTTCAGTCTTCCATGTCAATTCATCTATCGTCTTTGTTTTTTCTTTGTAAACTCACTTTTTTTTTTCCTTCCCCAATAAAAGAAGTGTGCCTGGAATGTACTAAATAGTGTTAACAATGAAGAGTGACAATTAGGCTGTGTGATTTAGTCTGTAGACAAGTTTGCAACCCATATGTTGGAAGAAGGGAGATTCAACTCATTTAGACTGTAATTGAAGTTAAGTGACTTGGTTTATTGATACAATACTGCGGTATCAACAAATACAACACAAAATATTGTCGACAAAATTAGGAACTATTGGTGAACTCTATCAAAATGTTGATGTTGATTTGGATAACTTGTGTAATAATTTTAAATTTCGAAAACAACTCGACTAACAGGGCCAGTTTCTCGGTTATGCTCGCGAAAGACCTGACTCAAAGATCAAACACAAAGGAAACAAATTCTGTCATTGCCGTCCAAAAAAGAAGCTGATGAAAGATTAAGAAAACACCTGTGTTTGAGTTTCGTATGTGTTTTTGGTTTTCGTTTTATATTTTCATTTTTCACGGAAACAATTGTCCTTGTTTGATAACATTTTTGTTTTTATTTTCTAATTTCCTTTTTTGTTTTCATTTTATTTGGAAATTGGTAACAAAGACTTGGTGTATTGTTTTGTTTTGAGAAAAATGTAGATGGTTAAATTTTCAAAACCTAGGGTTAAACAAAGAGTAATTCTAGGGACGATCCAGTGTTATTGCTACTCTTATGATTGTCCAACAATGTCGCTATCAGCATTGAGATAGACATTGCTAGCGGCATCAAGATATGAGTTATGTAATTATTCATTTATTCCATCAATAAAGTCTTCTTTTTGCCGATAAAAAAAAAAAAAAAAAAAAATCAAGATATGAGTTATGTCACCAACAACGCCTTTTTCACCTTTGACACTAACAACGTTTTCTTCGTCTTGTTGCTCTTCCATCTCATTTGCCGGTCCAAATCTACGTATAATGTTTTCTATTTTTCTGATTTTTTTTTATAAAAAAGTTATGTCAATTTTTAAAATTTTTTCTTTCCATCTTAGGAATTTAAAAAGGAACAAATTTTTTTTAAAAAAATTAAAGAAAAAATAAAATAAAAAGTCCACTATTTTTTTGGTCATTTCTTGACTTTTTTTTTAAAAAAATTTAATGGTCCGTCTAGTGGGTAGAACTTGGAAAATTAAATATTTTTGAAATTAAAAAAAATCATTAAATTACAAATAGATGAAAAATATTATAAATATTAATAATTAAAATTATAATTTTTACCATAAATTTGTAATAATTTTTTTTAATTTACCAATAAATGGTAACTTCCTCTTCTCTCTTTTTTTTTTCCCGAATTTTTTTTTTCTGAACAATCCTCAATTTTAAAATTAATAAAAAAAAACATTTATAATATTCATCAAACATAAATTGGGCTCCCAAATTCAATTGTGTTGCATCATTGGCGATGCACAGTGAGCGCAATCAAAAGTCCGGCGAGATGGCGAGTGTGAATCAGAGAAAGCTTCTACTCGGTGAAAAACTGCAACTACATAATCCAATTATATATTAGCCTTTCACCAACTACATAATCCAATTATATATTAGCCGTGTGTGCAATTTAAACAAGTAAAAATAAAAGGATAGGTAAAAATACCCACAACAAAACCAACAATTTTTAATATTTTATAATGCTAAGAAGAAAGAACACAAAAACTCCTAATCTATATTCATATCTGAAATTGATTATTCCATGTAAATTACCAAAAATTTGAAAATGTATGTGCTGCTTCTGCTCTCATTGTTAATTATATAATGAATAAATCATCGTTGTTTCATTAGGCCTTTGAAATGAACATGAAAATTGCAGCCTCATTGTCGACATTATAAAACAAATTTGGTCTGGTTAAAAGTGATCAAGGCGATGAATTATATGCAAAACATCGCCTGTCAGGATCAATAAATCTATTTGATGAATGTTCTGCTGTACAAAATATGTTATTATAAAGAAAATCATGGTGATTCCTAGGTGGGTTTGTGGAGTGGACATATATGGCAGAACAATTGTGGAACTATATTAATTATTTTTCTACATGTTTTAATTCAGATGTTGGCTTGTTTTGAGGGAAACTTACAAGCAGGAAGGGGTGAGTGAAGGTCATATTAACCCTTTTAAAAATTGTCTCCAAAAAATTTAAGCTGTCAGAAATGCGTCCACCATTGTATATTAAGCGCTAACAAGCATATGTTATCGACTTTATTTATTATGAGCTCGACCCTCAAAATCTAATGGCTAACACCAATTATCCAAGGATGAGAACATTTGCCCATCTTGTTTTCCTGTTAATTTCTTCATGTTTGCTGTTTGTTGATGCCTCAACAGATACAATCGTACATGGACAGTCTATCACAGCCTCCAATACCATCGTATCTGCTGGCAATGTCTTCGAGTTGGGATTCTTCAATCCTGGGAATGGGAGCTCGACAATGAATTACTACCTGGGTATATGGTACAAAAATATTTCAGAACAAACTGTTGTTTGGGTAGCCAACCGAGACTACCCATTCACAGATTCCTCTGTGGCTCTTCTCATCAGCGCTGATGGAAACCTTGTGATAGTGAAGGGAAAAATTTCATACACGTTGACTAACATATCATCAAATGGTAAAACTAGTGCTACCCTTTTGGATTCAGGAAATCCTGTTTTGAGAGACGAGACATCTGGTGACTTACTATGGGAGAGTTTTGACTACCCTTCACATACTCTCTTGCCTGGAATGAAGCTTGGTCGTTTTGATAATTGGATCAGTTGGAAGCCCTGGTCTTTGATATCCTGGAAAAGCAGGGAAGACCCTGGCCCCGGAGTTTTCTCTCTGGAAAGTGATCCTCTAGGCATGCACCAGTTCTTCATCAGAAAGGGATATCAAAAGTATTGGACTAGTGGGGTATGGAACGGAAAAAGTTTCCCAATGATCCCTGATATGACAGCTCACAATATAAACATCACCTTTAGTTTCAACCCGTCGGGGGCTATTTCACTTACTCTGTTACTGATGCTTCTGCGACTATTATATTTGTGCTGGATGTATCAGGGGAACTTCAGCTGCTGTCGTGGTCTGAAACTAATCATCAATGGGATCTGTTTTGGTTTCAACCAAGCCAGCAGTGCGAGGTTTATGCCTACTGTGGGACTTTTAGCAGTTGCAGTCAAAAGGCCCGTCCATATTGCCAATGCTTGCCTGGTTTTGAACCATTTTCTATAAAAAATTGGAATGCAGGGGACATGTCAGAAGGGTGTGTGAGGAAAGCCCCATTGCAGTGCAGCAATAAAAGTGAAGCCAATGGGAAAAAAGACCAGTTTCTTTGGATATCTAAAGTAAGACTCCCTGTTAATCCAGTAATTTTGCAACATAGAGGTGCTTCAGACTGCAAGTCAGCTTGCTTGAGTAACTGCTCTTGCTCTGCTTATGCTTATGGCAGTGATGGGTGTTCAATATGGAGTGAAGATCTCTTTAATGTGGAACAGCTGACAAATGATGACCCTGATGGGAGAGATTTCTATCTAAAACTTGCTGATTCTGAGTTTCTTAGTAGAGGTAAGAATAATGGAATTGCCTCAATTGTTTTGGTGGCATGGTGACAGAAATTAATTACTTTGTTTTGGATAAAACTGAATTCAGTCCACCTAACTCATTTTTCAGATTCAAGAAGAAAGTGGTGGAAATGGTTAATTCTGGCACTAGCAGTTTCTATGACTCTATCAGCCTTGGTTTATTGTATGTGGAGGAGAACGTTACGGAAAAGAGGTATGCATTTCACTCTTTGGAACACAATACTAAACCCATCCACGGGAGTTTTTTTTTTTAAAAATAAATATAGTAAAACTTAGTCCTTGTGCTTCTATATAAGTTCAAATGCCCAAATATAATTCCCCAAAAAAAATAAATAATAATAAGCCCCTATATTTTTGTGATGGGTGTTCAATATGGAGTGAAGATCTCTTTAATGTGGAACAGCTGACAAATGATGACCCTGATGGGAGAGATTTCTATCTAAAACTTGCTGATTCTGAGTTTCTTAGTAGAGGTAAGAATAATGGAATTGCCTCAATTGTTTTGGTGGCATGGTGACAGAAATTAATTACTTTGTTTTGGATAAAACTGAATTCAGTCCACCTAACTCATTTTTCAGATTCAAGAAGAAAGTGGTGGAAATGGTTAATTCTGGCACTAGCAGTTTCTATGACTCTATCAGCCTTGGTTTATTGTATGTGGAGGAGAACGTTACGGAAAAGAGGTATGCATTTCACTCTTTGGAACACAATACTAAACCAATCCACGGGAGTTTTTTTTTAAAAAAATAAATATAGTAAAACTTAGTCCTTGTGCTTCTATATAAGTTCAAATGCCCAAATATAATTCCCCCAAAAAATAAATAATAATAAGCCCCTATATTTTTTTTTGTCAAGCGGGGGAGGATTTGATGCTATTCGATATTGGTACAGGCATTGGAACCAGTAAGAGTCTTATTGGTGGAAAGAAGGAAGTTGATTTACCGTTGTTCAGTTTCGCTAGTGTTTCTCTTGCTACTGATAACTTTTCTGATACAAATAAGCTCGGAGAGGGTGGTTTTGGACCTGTTTACAAGGTAACATTCAACATCAGTGACCATGATTCTTTAGGGATGTTGAACACTAAACAGAAATCATTTTGATCCTATCAAGTAGTTCAGTCCCAATTGATGCATAGAGCTATGTTTTATTTTTTGAGAGTCCATGTTTACTTAATAATATGTTATTTTCGGATAGTGTTTGATGTTAGTTTTCCATAGATCATAAACAAGCTAAGAAGGTTCTATATCAGGGAAAGTTGCTAAAAGAATATGAGGTGGCTGTGAAAAGGCTTTCAAGAAAATCTGGACAAGGATTAGAGGAATTACAGAATGAGGCTTTGCTCATAGTAAAACTTCAACACAAGAATCTTGTGAGACTACTGGGCTGCTGCATTGAAAGAGATGAAAAGATTTTAATCTATGAGTATATGCCCAACAAAAGCTTGGATTTCTTGCTTTTTGGTTTGTGCCTTCGCATTCTTGAATATATTTGATCGTTTATGTTTGTATGTTTATCCATACTTATGTACTACCATTTAAATTTATTAATTTGATGTGAAATCGCGACAGATCCAATCAAACATGGGACACTAAATTGGGAGTTACGAGTTAACATCATTGAAGGAATTGCTCAAGGGCTTCTTTATCTTCATCAGTATTCAAGGTTACAAATCATCCATAGAGATTTGAAAGCTAGTAACATTTTGTTGGACAAAGATATGAACCCAAAAATTTCTGATTTTGGGATGGCAAGAATTTTCGGTGGAAATGGATCACAAGCAACAAATCGAATTGTTGGCACTTAGTGAGTAAAACATAGTTTATGCACCTTTGCACCAAAACATCTTATTTTTTCTTACATTGGTATTTTAAGGCTACTAAACAATTCAATTTAATACTTGAATCCAGCGGCTATATGTCACCTGAGTATGCTTTGTATGGCCTATTCTTAATTCAGCTTTGGAGTCTTGTTGTTAGAGATTTTGAGTGGCAAAAAGAATACAGGCTTTTATCTAACTGACTCTGTTAATCTTCTTGGATATGTGAGTACCAGAATGCTATTACATTTATCATGCCCTTCTTTTACCTTTCCACTTTATTCGTCTTTGAAGGATTCACAAGGAGATATACTTTACTGCCTTATATTCTTTAGGCATGGGACTCGTGGAAGAGTGGCATGGGACAGAACTTGAAAGACCCAATATTGGGAGACATACCTTCTACACATATGATGTTGAGGTACATAAACATTGGACTTCTTTGTGTTCAAGAAAGTGCAGCTGATAGGCCTACCATGTCCAGTGTTGTGTCAATGCTTAGCAATGAACTTGTGCTTCTACCCTCTCCAAAACAACCTGCATTTTCAACTATTAAAAGTGTGCCAGATCGGAATTCATGCAAAAGCCCAGAAAGATGTTCACTGAACAATGTGACGGTTTCAATTTTGGAACCCCGGTAACAGTTCAGTCTTCCATGTCGATTCATTGTATTGTCTTTACTTGTTCTTTCTTATTGAACTTACATTTTGTTATTGTTTTTTTTATTTTTTTATTTTTTCATAAGAGAAGTTTGCCTGAAATGAACCAAAAAGTTGTTAATTTTGTTTTTTTATTTTTCTCTATCTATTCTGTGTACACTTTGCAACTCCTATACTGGAAGAGGGGAGGTTCAACTCTTTTAAAATGTCAAATAGGTTTAGTGAGTTGGTTTGTTGATACAATAAAAAAAATTGTCAACCAATTTCAGGATCCATTCCAAAAGATCAATAAAACACTGGAGTTTAAGTTTCTGTTCGGTTGTCTTATTTATTTATTTTTTAAGAACAATTGTTTGGCCTTGTTTGTTAAAATTTTGATACCTCATTGAGTAGATGTCTGTATGAGTTAGAGTTCAATTTTTTATTTTTTTATTTTAACTTTCTTTTAATTTGCCCTTTTGGAATCCAACAACTAGAACCAAAGTGAAAACAAAAGGTGACTGTCTGCAACCCATTCATCTACACAACCTCTCAATTCTCACGCCCCAAAACAATTTGATTGCATTGTCTCACAATGAATTTTCACCGTGTGATTTTTCACTATGATAGTAAGTGAAATTTCACTTAAAATTGATCATTTTGGAACTCTCAATTTGAACCTTTTAGTGATAAATTTGGAATTATGGGCCTAATTTTTATAATTAGTCACCAATTTAAGAAATTTTTAGTGCTGAAATAGAAATTCTATTGACTTCTAATAGAGTCCGTAAAATTTCACCGTGCAAAATCAACAAAACTTAGCAATTCCGAATTCAAACAAATTATTATATATTAACAACATATATGTCTCAATATTGGGCCTAATCTAACCCTTCCAAATTTAACTCTTAAAAAAAGGTTAAAAATATGAATTGAACTGAACATATGAACTTACAAAGAAATCATTTGACAAATGATAATTTTATTAAAAAAATAAAAATAAAATTAGTTGATACAAAAAAAAGTGAAAAATTTCTTTCCATTCACCTTTACAAGTCCCATTCATTATAATTTTTGCATGCTTGTTTATAAAAAAAGAAAAAAATAATAACAAACATATTTCGCCTCATTTTAACAAGAAAAGTTTAAAAAAACTAAAAAAACTCAATATTTACATTAATAAAAAAACAAATTTAAATATATTTATCAAATGTAAATTGGGCTCCCAAATTCAATCATGCTTCGTTGCCCGTGACACACAATAATAGCTATCGAAAGTCCGGCGAGACGGCAAGTGCGAGTGAGAGAAGTTTCTACTCAGTTCAGGTCTGCCGAACCAATTTTATATGTACTATAGGATGACATAATTTTATATTTTCTAAATTATAATTAAAAAAAATATTGTAACCAAATAACATGGAGTATAATAAAAGATTTCTCATAAATAAAATAAGGTCATAATTAAAAAAAAAGAAGACATAGTTTAGGGATGCATATGGTAGGAGGTGTGTATACAAGAATTTCCTCTATCTATATATTTATATGGGTCTAGGGTTTAGGGAGAAAATGAACTAAAATCTGTTTGGTTTGGAAATTTTTTTTTTATATTCATTTTTAATCAAAATAGAAAATATGTGTAAAATAATTTCAAAAAATTCATTGAATACATATACAATTTTTTTTTTTGGGGTACATTTTCATAATTTGTTGTATTTTAATGAATGTTATGAAAGATTTTTGTATAAATGCTAAAAATCCCCTATCTATATATTTATTAGGGTTTAAGGAGAAAATGAATTAAAATTTGTTTGGTTTGGAGTTTTTTTTTTTTTTTTTTTTTTTCAATTCATATTTTTTTATTTATTTATAATCAAAATAGAAAATTTGTGTAAAAATCTTTTAAAAAATTCATTGAATACGAGACAAATCTTTTTTGTGTGTATATTTTCATATTTTGTTGTATTTTAATGATTTTTTTAAAAGATTTTTGTATAACTATTATATATATATATATTACGACAAATCTTTTTTTTTGTGTATATTTTCATATTTTGTTGTATTTTAATGATTTTTTTAAAAGATTTTTGTATAAATATTATATATATATATTAACTGTATCTAAATTAAGTGGATTTAAAAAAAAAATGATTAAAATGTTAAATTTTTTTTACTAAAAAAAAAATATATATGGGTTGAAAATTCGGTTTTAGAAAATTCCAAACCAGACAGATTGTGTTAGGCCAATAAATAAAAGAAAAATTCTAGTATCTAATGAAAATTCCCTTAAACACAACCAAGAATTTTTAATTATTTTATAATGCTTTTATTTCAGTTGGAATTTGGATGTATAATCTGTGATCATACTCTGTTTGGTTGATTAGAATACTGATGATGCTTAAAAAAAAAAAAAATACAAAAACTCCTAATCTGATTTGTCTAAATGGAGGAGGAACAGAAATCACCTAATTATTAGAAATTGTTTGTAGCAGACTCAGTTGACTGGACTTATTTACCTATTTCCTTTGGTTTTCTTTTCTCAAGTCTTGGTCATAGAAAAGATCTGAAATTTGCCCATGTTTTCTCAGTTTCTGATGAGGGTTAAGGTTTTCTCTAGTCATATCCCAAAATTTTGAGAATATATATGTGCTGCTTCTGCTCTCAATGTTGATTATTTAATGTATGCTTTGCTTACCAAATTGGCAATTATGAATAAATCATGGTTGATTCATTAGCCCTTTGAAATATATGCAAAACATTGCCTGTCAGGATGAATATATCTATTCGATGACGGTCCAGCAATACAAAATATGTTATTCTAAAGAAAAGTTAAGGTGATTCCTAGGTGGGTTTGTGGATTTATAAGGCAGAACATGTCTGGAGTTATATTAATTATATTATTCCACATTTTTTAATTCTAATGTTGGTTTGTACTGACGGAAACTTGATCCTTTTAAAAATTGTCCCAAAAATTTTAATCTGTTATGAAATGCGTTCACCATTGTATATGAATGAGCTAACAAGCATATGCTATGGACTTTATATATTATGGAGTCGACCATGAAAATCCAATGGCTAACACCAATAATACAAGGATGACAACATATGCTCATATTGTTTTCCTGTTAATTTCTTCATGTTTGTGGTTTGCAGGAAATGTCTTTGAGTTGGGATTCTTCAGTCCTTGGAATGGGAGCTCTACAATGAATTACTATGTGGGTATATGGTACAAAAGAATTTCGGTACAAACTGTTGTTTGGGTAGCCAATCGAGATTACCTACTCACAGATCCTTCTGCGGTTCTTAGCATCAGCGCTGATGGAAACCTCGCGATAGTGAAGGGAAAATTTTTGTACATGTTGACTAACATATCATCAAATGGCAACACTAGTGCTGCCCTTTTGGATTCAGGAAATCTTGTTTTGAGAGACAGGACATCTGGTGAGTTACTATGGCAAAGCTTTTGATAAAATTGATGTATTATTGATTTATGTATGTTGTGTTTACAATGAGTCCTATATATAGAAGATTAGAGGAGGTAGGTATGTAGTAGGTGGAGTAGGTGAAGTGGGTGGAGTAGGTGTAGTGGTAGGTTTTGGTAGGTTTTAACAGCCCCCGCAAACTCAAGGGGGATAGGAACTAACCAACTTGAGTTTGGAGAGAGTAACAAAACAAGAAAATAGACTAATACATAAAATAAAAGAGGATAGGAGACACGGTACGGTCGTGTCAAACCGTTGGGGAAGACACTGGATGGTTGTGTCATAACGTTGTAGAGGACACTGGATGGTTATGTCATAACATTGTAGAGGACACTGGATGGTTGTGTCATAACGTGGTAGAGGACACTGGATGGTTGTGGCAGACCGTTGTAGCAGATAAAGTCTGGACAGTTGACGAGGTCACACCGGACCGAGGGAGATGCTAACCGGAATCAATGTCGGGACAGTTTATGGGGTCATGTCGGACCGTTGGAAAAGTCGCACCCTCAAAAGGTGTGCCCAATCTTTCAAAAGGCGTGCCATCAAAAGGCGTGCCCAATCTATCAAAAGGTGTGCCGGACATGATGGCGAGGCGCGTGACTACCTTGGCTTGCGCGCCCGTTTTGTCGTCTGGCGTCAAGTGGCGCGCGATGCGCGTGTCTGCCTTGGCTATTTAACCAAGACGGAGGCTGAGGCTGAGGCAGAAACCTGCGAAAAACCTCTGAAAAACTCTTCGTTGTGCTGAGAGAGATAGTCTGTAACACTCTGGTGCCCAGAAAATGGCCTCGTTTTCCCGTGGGCTGCTCACTTTCTTTCCCGACCTCAACGAGTCAACAAGAGAGATAACTGGTGCGGTGGCCCGTGAACCTCAACCAAACACCTCTGGTTTTGCTCCGTTGAACTTTCCGATGCGGTCGGTGGAGCAAAAAATGGCAGTGCAAACGGATATTGAGGCCAATCAGTATACATTGAAGTCATGTGTGGAGACCATGACTGCGGTCACAAACTTGTCGCACCGGCTGCAGAGTAGGACAAATGAGGTGCAGCAGTTAAACGCCCAACTGGCTCTGCTCCAACGCATGTATAAGGATTCGCGAGCAGAGATAAGTGTGCTAAAGGCGGAAAATAAGGAGCTGAAGCGGAAGGCCACTGTGATGTTTCGATTTGGAGGTCCGCCATATGCTGCAGGGGAGGAGCAGGGGGGAGTGAACGTGCTCGGCGGCGCGGGAAACACAGAGACAGCACCGGCAAGGGCCGCCCAGGACATAGGCAAGAAGAAGAGACCGGCGGCAGAGTAGAGAAGAAAAAAATCCCGCCTGTGGATGTGGTTGTTTGGGTTTTGTTTGGTTGTGTTGTTTTTTTTGTTTTTTTGTTTGTTTGTTTGTTTGTTTGTTTTTTTTTTTTTTTTTTTTTTGTGTTTGTTGGTGTAAAATTGGGATCGGGGTTGATCCCCGGCATGAAGAAATGACAAATTTGTGGAAGGTTGTTGGTGTTATTCTGTGTTGTTGTTTGGTTTAATAATAAAAATAAAATAAAATAAAACAATGGATAAAGAAAATAGATAAAAATATTTGTGGAGGGGTGATATGAAAAACATCGGTGTGATTTTTTTTTATTTTTTTATTTTTTTTATGTGTGAAGAATAATGAGAATAATAAAAAGAATAATAATAAAAAAATGTATTAATGGGGAAAGCATGTGCGCTGGTGGATGGAATAAATTAAGACAAATGAGGGATATGATTAAAGTGGGCGGGTGGAGAGAAAAAGGGACCAGAGAGAGAGGGAGTGGGTGGATTAAAAAAAAAAAAAATTTTCATCATAAAGTGCATGTGTGTTTGTCAATCCCGTGGGTGTGTGTGTTGTGTGTCTGCTGTGAGTGCCGTGGGTGAGAGAGAGGTGTGTGTTAGCTGGGTGTCATGTGCATGGGTGGGAAGATCTTGGGTGTGTATGGAGTGGGTGGCTGGGTGAGTATTGTGTGAGAGAGAGAAGCCTAGAAATCTAGAGAGAGAAGAGAGCTGGGTTTGGTGTGTGTTTTCCGGAAGAGAGAGAGTTGCCGAGAGGGAGAGAGCTGCCATGCATATGTGTGTGTATGCCGAGAGGGAGAGAATGTTAGCAGACAAGCAGTGCGTGAGAGCTATAGATCATGGTCGGCGGTGGTGGTCCACCGAGAAGAGAGAGAGCCCAGGTGCAGAGAGAGAGAGAGGAACATGAATCCATCGTTGTCGCCGGACCTCTCGATGAGCTCCTGGAAGACGGGGTTGTCAACGACGTCGGAGCCGACGAGGTAGCGACGGCGAGACTTGCCGACGTAGACGGGGTAGAGGTCTCTGGAGATCTTGTCGTTGTTGTTGTGGAAAGAGGAGGAGTAGTCATCGTCGGAGGAAGAGTGGGTTGAGGACGAGGCGGCGGCGACGACGGAGCCGCCGTAGGTGGAGCGGCTGCTGAGCTGCTTGCTGAATGAGTTCCATTTTTTTTTGAGTACTGACTTGAGCTTGGTTAGTTTGCCTCCTTTTGCCATCTTATTGTATATGATTAACCAGTGTGGTTCAAGACTTGGTTGAGAGACAGAGAGAAGATGTTATGTGCTTAGTTTTCTCATCGTCCGGCGGGCGGCCAAGGCGAGGCTGCCGCCCGCCGGTGAAGCGAAATTACTAGGTTGTTAACTCTGCTCTGATACCATGATAAAATTGATGTATTATTGATTTATGTATGTTGTGTTTACAATGAGTCCTATATATAGAAGATTAGAGGAGGTAGGTATGTAGTAGGTGGAGTAGTAGGTGGAGTAGGTGAAGTGGGTGGAGTAGGTGTAGTGGTAGGTTTTGGTAGGTTTTAACAGCTTTGACTACCCCTTCACATACTCTCTTGCCTGGAATGAAGCTTGATTATAGTGTGATCAATAGAAAAACCTGGTCTTTGATATCCTGGAAATGCAGGGAAGACCCTGGCCCTGGAGTTTTCTCTCTGGAATTTGATCCTCAAGGCACGCCCACGGTTCTTCATCATGAAGGGATCTCAAAAGTATTGGACTAGTGGGGTATGGACTGGACAAAGTTTCCCAATGATCCCTAATATGAGAGCTCGCAATATACATATCACCTATGTTTTCGGCCCGTGGTGGGCAATTTCACTTACTCTGTTACTGACGCTTCCGTGACGAGTATATTTGTGTTGGATGTATCAGGGAAACTTTAGCTGCTGTCGTGGTCTGAAACTACTCATAAATGGGGTTTGATTTGGTCTCAACCGATCCTGAAGTGCAAGGTTTATGCCGACTGTGGGGCTTTTAGCATTTGTAGTCAAAAGGCCCTTCCATTTTGCCAATGTTTGCTGGGTTTTGAACCCCGTTTTGTACGAAATTGGATTGCAGGAGACGTGTCGCGAGGGTGCTTTACAATGTGGCAATGATAGTCAAGCCAATGGATAGAGTGACCAGTTCATTTGGATACCTAAAGTAAGACTCCCTTTCAATCCGATAGTTTTACAAGATAGAGGTGCTTTTCAATATCTGCTCTTGCTCTGCTTTTGCTTATGGCAGTGATGGGTGTTCAATATGGAGTGAAGATCTCTTTAACATTGAACAGCTGAAAGATGATGACTGTCACGACCCATTCCGCCCCTAGTAGAATGGTGCCGTGATGGCTAGTAATCCGAGATTACCAAAAGCCAACTTACAAGATTCACACACAATCAGAGTATTACATATGGGGCTTACATGTGCGGAAGCAATATATTTAAATCTAAGTAGTCCATAAGAGCTGTGCATAGATCAAATAAAACGACATACAACTTAGCATGGTTTTACAACTTGGATACAATAATAAGAAATACAAAATACATCTTGAACAAAAGGCTTCTCAAGCCGACATATACAAACACAATGAAATATAAGCTAAGAAGCATGATCTTCAAGATGCTACAAAAATGCGAATCCAAGACACGTCAGCAAACACATCCAAAACATGTCGGCAACACATCTAGGCCTCATCGCCTTCTTGTTCATCACCTACATATATATAGAGAGGGTGAGCTTGGATACTCAGTGAATGATATTAGAAATAAAGGTTTTTCATGATTGATATCCGAGATCTTTTCCAAAACAATACATATCATAACTTTACAAATCAAGGGATGAAACAAGTTCATCCGTCAAACCTTTCAAGTTCCTTGGATGTTAATAACATCTACATAATACCAAATGATGACATTCCGGACAAACAAACCCACCAATTTATAGACCGTCAGTGGCAAAACAAGGGTGCAGTTGCATTATAGTCCCCTGGCACTAAGGACTTTCAAGACAAGGGTGCAGTTGTATTATAGTCCCCTGGCACTAAGGACTTTTACAAGAATGTCATCAAAACAAGATAATACTTGATATATAAAATAGGGATAATCATTCATATTTGATCAAATACTTTTCAAAACAAGGTAAAACAAAGCTTTATCAAAACATGATAACATAGCTTTATTAAAAATACCACTCACATAGTTCCTCGGGTGTGGGGGTTTCAAGCGAGGATTCAAGGCCTACAAACACATGGCAAAGTCTACTAAATGCACTTCTCAAAGCAAGTCCTACATGCATGCAGATGATCTCGAGAAAACATGCTGGGGTTAAAACACTGTTTTACACGTCGAGAAGACATGCTGGGCACTAACCAGGTCTTGGCCGATGTCCCACACCTTCTCGCCGAGGTGTGGTCCCGACGGCCACATTCAAAAGCGAAGTCGGGAAAATCTGGGTTTCCCTTTGAGGAACATGAAGAACATGAAGATAGAGAAGATGAAGAACATGCATGCTTAAATCATAACTTGTTATTACAAAATCTGAGATTTCGTGCTATGAGTTCGAAAACATGGACCTTGGTACCCATACTTGAAGATCTTATGAAAACAAACACGATAAACATGCATCTTGATACAAACTTTCGGATCAAAACATGGTTTTCTTCAAGAACACATGAATATCACTTTCTCTTT